AACTGTCATGAGAACTAGTCAAGATCATGTACATAAAGCACTTAGCTTAATGTTTGACTCCTAGAAAGAGCTCAACTCAATATCATAGCTGGGAAAACTTCTGCCTCCATAAAGGGATAAAATCTCAAAAGACCACAGTGATGAGTCTATATTTCACAAACTTTAAACCTTACTTTAAAGCAAAAGTTTCTTCCAAAAAGTCCTAGAACTTTAACTCTGGAGTGTTTGCCAATAACACACACTGATGTGACAATTAAGCCATTGAGTTGGCTCTGTAGATTCTGTTATAGCTCCTTGAAAGTCCTGAATCGAGTACAGTAGCCCTTCCTTTCAGCAGCAGGAGGGGAGAACATGACCTTACGGTGCTGCAGGTCAGGACCTGAGCTTCAATTCCCTGGGTGTAGGGGAGAGGGGATGCATTTGATCACTGAGGAGCCAGGAGATATTTGCCAGATGGGGTCAACACTATTGTGTTTTATAAAGCTGTTATGGTTTAGGTCAAGAATGTCCCCCCAAGGCCCCGTGCATTCAGAGGAGGAGCTTTTCGAAGGTGACTGACTCATAAGGGCAAAATAGATGGCTTGCTATTAGGGAGAGGTAGGTCACTGACAAAGTGACCTGGAAAGGTTTCTCTCCCTTCCGACTGCCTCAGTTCACTCTCTGCTTCCTGGCTGCCATGATGCGAGCAGCTCTCTTCCACCCAGGTCCTTCCACCAGGCCATCCTGCCTTGGGCCCAGCAGACTATGGATTTAAAATGTTAAGCCCAAATTAACATCTCCTCCTTTAAGTTTTAGGTATTGGGTATTTTGTCCCAGTGACAAGAAAATGACTATGGCAACCTGTGCTGAGGAAAAAATGTTGCTGTATCTTTGTATCTAAAGGCAAGGAAGGGATCAAGATTAGGTGCAATAAAATACCAGTTACTAACAGCAGCTCTCTCTGATGTATCACAGTACAGAAGATTTCTGATTTCTGTGTCATTTATTTCTGTAAGTGATGGGTTTGTATAATGAGCATGCATCTTCATGGCTGTGTTCCAGAAAGCAAACAAGAAGCAACCTCTGCGTGTACATGTGCATAGAAGTACATGTGTATGTGCATGAGCCGAAGGGGCCCGAGCTCTCTGGGCCTCCACAGGCTGTTGAGATTCCAGAACGGCTCCTGGGAAGTCACAGGGAGTGGTATTCAACCTCCCACTGTATGTGAGAATCCTTTGAAGCTTGTGAAGCATCAACACAACTGCAGACGAACACACTGCCAATCTAGGATGTCAGAGGACCTAGGAAGCTGCACTTTTGTACACACCAGCCCCAGCTGTCTCCGCTGCATCCTGAAGAAGCTTTGCAAGGCATTGGCCTCCTCCTGCAATGGAGATGAGCTCTGAGGTGCAGTAGCCCTGTGTCAGCTCACAGTGAGGGGAGCCCAGTGCTGTACCTGCTCTGTGGGTCCCCCTGTGGGTGATAAGGAAGGAAGAGAGCTTGCTATTTCTGCTGTGAGGATGTTCCCGAATTTTAAAAACTAAAGGATTGCAACACTTACAAAAATATCCAGGTCTACAACTGCATGAAAAGGTTTTATTGAATCCTCGATTAATTTATATGACAATGAAAACAAGTTCATTTGAAGACAAGATGAAAAGTCTTATTGTGGGGCCTTTTCTAACCTCCACCTCAACACCACAACAAGTGCCAGACTAGAAGGGCATTCAAGGCTCTAAAAGAAGGGTCCCACAGCCACCCCATGGCCCTGGCAGCCAGGAACAGAGCAGGGACTTGGTTTAAGCCTCCTGCTACCTAGTGGTCAGCCAGAGGCGTGCTGTAGTTTATCTAGTCTTCTCCAATTAATTAATCCAGCAAATGTTTGCCCAGCACAAAAAAGATTCCTCTTATACAGCCGGAAGGAGCCCTGCCAATCACTGGTAAGGCCATTCCCAGTGGTGAAACCGAGGCCCACATGGCAGAGTGAGGGTGCTTACACATGGCTCACATCCGTTCTGATACCTCTCTTCCAATGTCCTTTCCCCCACCCATCAGGGTGTCAATAAGAATCACCAGTGGAGGGTGAGCTTTTTAAAAATATACCTATCAAGAGGCCACTCCTGGAGACTCATATTCAAAAGGTCTAGAATGGGCTCCTACCTGGTAAATTTTATAGTTTAAGGCCACAGATGTTTCTCTTGTGTTCCCCAAACCGCATGCACTGACACAAAGTTGAAAACCATGGTTTTCCATCGTGAGGCTCCTACCCAGTTTTCTACATGTTAACAGCATCCCTCCACATAGCGTTTTAGTTTTTAAATTGCTTTCACCTCCATTATTGCCCTTGACTTTCACGCAACCATGTGCAAGCATAATCTCCACCTGCAGATAAGGAAAGGGGACTGCAGAAGTCACATTCATTCTTGAGGCCTCCTAACTACTTTAGTGATGAACACGGGCTTCATGCCCAGGTTCTGGTTGACTTTAAATCCCACTCTTTTGCTGTGCTGTCTCAGGGTGCTCTGGGCAATCAGTTAGACAACACAATACATGAGGCCACGGTCAGAGGATTGAGCCCTGCTGGACCTAGCATTAAAGGATCACATATTTTAAATTTTTATACAACAAATATTTAAGAACCCACCACGTACAGAGAATAGTGAACAAACAGTGTTCAAGCCGAACGAGATACAACCTGTGCCTTCAAGGTCCTTAGTGTCCTCTGTAATCATCCATCATGTGGTAAAGTGCCCCCGAGGCACAGGTGTCCCCCACATTTCCCATACATCCACAAACCACCCCCCACCCTGGCCACAGAAGTATGCTGGCAACCCAGCTCTCTAGAGTTAAAAACAAACCAACAAAAGCAAAGATCAGATATGCAATTGCTGATTTCTGTGGCATAAATAGTCCCACCGTGGTCAATGCCTTGCTACCCATGCTTGAACTGCAAACTTGCAAAGTCTCCAAATACTGAAGAATGTGTTTTTGCATACTGGTGGGAGCTGCTTCCTGAAGACTCTCTCACCATACAGATACACAGCTCCACTGAGCATCAGGCCAGCCCTGGATGGTCTTCTCATTAGTACTGTAATGCATTATCATGAATTCAGCAATGTAAAATAACGCAAACTGTCATCTTATTAGTCTGGGGGGTCAGAAATGTGAAAACAGTTCTTACATGGTAATATTAAGGTGTCAGGAGAGTGATAGGACTGCTAGGGCCCCAGGGGAGAATATTTTCCTTGTCTTCCCAGCTTTCTGAGGCCACTGTGGTCCTTAGCTGCGCCTCTCACATTACTGGCGTCCCTCCCACCTCTGCTTCTACCCTCACATCCCTTTTCCTCTAACTCCCACCCTTCTGCTTCCATCTGGATAAGGATGCTCTGATTCTCTTGGGCCTACCTGGGTACTCCAAGATGATCTCTAAATATCCAGATCTCAATTTGTCTGCAGAGTCCCGTTTGCTTTATAACTGCACACATCCACAGGCCCCAGGAATTGGGATGTGGTGTGGTCATCCTTAGAGTCCATTGCTCTGCCTTCCACAAACACTTGAGTGGAAGCACGTGGAAAATCCTGAAAGGACTGGCATGCATTGAATACATTCTGTGGGTCAGGCACTGGAGAAGCCAAGATGTGAAGGAAGGACAGAGTCCTCCCACTTTGGAAGACCCGGGTAAATCACCAGCTGGTGCTGAAGCACCTTGAAGAGCTGTGATACTGGTCTTGGGGCACCATCAGCAATATTTATTTAGGTCTACAAGTATTCTCATAAACATAAACATATTTGAACCACAAAAAGTAAAGAGCTATTTTTGTTCCTGAGGTTTAAAAAGGTACAACATCTGCCTAAGGTCAGGGAGTGTGTAAATGGTACAGACAAAATGGGAGATAAGTCATCCCCCAAAACTCCCACCCCAAATTCTTACTCTATTCCAGAGTTAGGGGGTCCAAGAAAGAACCCTATGATAGGATCCTGAACTTCTGCAAAATGGGACTGTATCAGGAAGGATTCTTTCTGCTGCCAAAAACTCCAACATAAATAAAAACAAACTAACTAGTTACAATGGAGGGACACATTTCACTGGCTCCACACTTGCGTCACTGTAAGAAGGCAGGAGCCACACCTCTTCCCTCTGTGGTAGTCCCCACTGCAGGCATAGTGCCAGGTGCACAAAGCGGGTCCTTGTGATACACACACCCCAATAGGGCCCCTGCAGGTCACACCCTTGTACAATTGCTTCCCCTTGAGCAGAATTTGCAATGAGCTTCTAACTAACAGATCATGGCAAATACATCATTCCCTAGATTAGGTTACAGTGTGTGAGAGTCCATCTTGGCAAACTGGAGCAAGGAGTCCTTCTCCCATGCCAGCTTTAAAGATGTGACAGTGTCGTGATTGGATGGTAATTCAGAACTCAGCAGTGGAAAACTGAATACTTACTAAAATCCAGAAGGATGAGCAGGAACTAGAAAGATAGAGGGAAAGGGAGAAATAAACATAAGGAGGTAGGTCGGTTTTGTTACTGTTGAGGTTTATTTTTGTTTTTGTTTTGTACTGAGGATCGAACTTAGGACCTTGTGCTTGTGAGGCAAATGGCAGCACCACTGAGCTAAATCCCTATAAGATATTTGACATCAGCACAAACAAATGCAGGACCCGAAAAGATGTCAGTAACACAACTGTGCTCTCTGTTGAGGTGAGACAGCACCTGAACTTTCTGCTGCCACCAACAGCCTCTTCACCCGTCTCAGAAGTGGGAGCCTTGCTGATAGTTGTGACTGTTAAGCCCCCTGGAGGACTCTACCTGGCTTAGAGATGAGACTTTCCAGGGGGTCACATCTGGTTTGTCTACCTGGGGGACACGAGGAAGGGAGCTGTTCATCAAGTTCCAAACCATAAAGAACTCATTTCTCAAAGCAGAGTTGTCTTAGTCACTTCCTCATTGCTGAGACACAACACCCAATGTCCACAACTTAAAGGAGGAAAAGTTTATTGTGACTCACAGTTTGCAGGGGTTTCAATCAATAGTTGGTTGGCTCCAAGGCAGGGAGGCATGGCAGAGGGGCGGGGCAGAGGACCAGCTGCTCACACACGGCAGACAGGAAGCTGAAAGTGTCAAGGGAGGAACTGGGAGGGAGATAAATCCTTCCAGGCCATGCCTCCAGTGACTTTCCCCTTCCGACCAGACCCCACCTCCTAACAGCAAGTCAGCAGTAAACTGTCATAGTCAGTCACCTTCCAGCAGCCCTGCTCAGGAGCACATGAAGCTCTTGGGGGACATCTAGATATGAACCCCAACAAGTCTTTGGAACCAGCAGAAAAACATCACAGGCAGGAAAAGGCTGTGAGACCACCATGGTGGGAAATAAATTATTATGGGTCATGATTATGGGTCATCGTGAGCATTCACTGAGAATACACGGAATACATAGGAGAAACCAGGAGACAGAATTTTACTTCTTTGAGGGAAGGGATTTTTGTCTGTGTGGCTTACTACTATATCCTATACCCATAACACATTCTGACACATAGAGGGGCCACACGATATTGAACAGAGGGACCAATCTGAAAGAGGGTGCAGATAGAGGCCATATTCCTGCCAAAATGAGTCAGTCCATTCCATTGTGGCCCAACAAACCAGGACCGTCAGCATGTTCTTTTCACTCCTGCCTCTCTCCTCTATTTGATAAGCCTTGGAGGGATAGCATGATCATTCCTGGACAAACGGAAAGAAGCATGATCCTAAGGTGTGGATATGAGCCATAATTATATCACTCTACTCAGGCCCTGTCTCCAGGAGACAGCAATTAATATTTAATCAAGCCTTGCCAGTTACACCAAGTGAAGGAGAAATCCAATCCCCCATCATAGGGCTTCTCATTCAGAGCGGAGCATTTCCTTTGCTGAACAGCCAGCATCTTGCTTTATGAAACACTTATGCCCATCAAGCCATTTGAACATCCCTATAACAGAGTAACAAATAAAAATTGGAAATTTGACCTTCTTGAAATGGTTCCTATTGACTAGAAATCCCAACACAGAATAGGAAAGAAAGAGAATGAACTTTTGGGTCGTGGGTGTCAGACCCTGCCTCCTTCATTGTGAACCAGAGGACCCATCTGCCATAAACTCTGTGGCTGAGCAAGAGACACAGACAATGCTCAATGCCAAACTACCCACAGAGGGTGATCAGTGTCCTCAAAAGAAAGTGCCCAATGCTGCACACTCTGGAGTGTAAAAGAAAGCATGACGCAGAGGAGTCCTTTCTGACAAGGGGGAAATAGGTTTGGTCAAATGAAGAGTGTGGCCGACCCTAGCAGATGTCTGTTAGGGGCCAGTCCCCTGCCCTCCTGCTTATTCACAGATTCCTGTTTCATTCAAGTATCTAGCAACGTGCCTTTGATCTCAGGAAAAGTGGGTGCTGTGGTTTGCATGGGGGTTCCCCAAAGCTCCATATGCAAAGGCTCGGTCCCCTGGATAGTATTATTGGGAGGCGCTGTGGGCCCTAAAGGGGTAGACCCAAGGGAGGTCCTTGGGTCACTGGGGTTATATAAAGGGGACTGTGAGACCCCAATCTTAGCCCCCTCCCTCTCTCTCTGCTTTCTGTCTTGAGATAGGCACTCTCACTCCAATGTACACTTATGTCATGATGTACCATCCTTGGCTGAGGCCAAACCAATGCCCCTAAACCATCCTTGCCCTCCCTGGCTTGGTATTTGAACCTCCAAATGGTAAGCTAAGGAAACCTTTTATGAGTTAATTGCCTGGAGTATTTTGTTATAGGGGCAGGAAGCTGACTAATACAGTGGGCTTGTCCCCAGTCGAAGCACGATTCTGTGCTTCAGTTCTGGCCAATAAAAAAATAAAGAGGAAACTGACAGGTACATATTGGAGCATGATCCCCTCCCTGATAAAAGGGAAGCACAAGAGGACCGTCCTTCTAACCCTAAAACTCCCCTTCCTGCTTTCAAACTGATGGCTGTAAAAATGTGATACTTGGAGCCACTGTAGCTATCTCATAACTGGGAGAGAAGCAAAGATTTACAAAGACATTGACCTGATACCCAAATGTTGAGCCAAGGAGCCCACACCAAAATGAACTGGTTCCTGCTAGATTTCTTATTATGTAAGAAAAAGATAGGCTCCCCAATTGGTTCAACATGCCCTTAGATTTTCTGCTACTTATAGCAGAACACACTTGTAACTAATTAAAAAAAAATTGTAGCGTCACGGTCAGGATTTTAGAAAGGGTCTTTATAGCTATGGCTAGGTAACAAACTACCCTAATATCTGAGGCATTAAAGTACAACCATGCTATGTGCTTACAGTCTGGTGAGTCTACCACTATTACAAATTATCCCCAAGTTTAACCATCGGTACTTATCAGCTCACCAGTTTCTGAGAGTCAGGACTTTGGGGTTGGTTCAGATGAGTGGTCTAGCTCATGGTGACTTCAGAGCACTGGCTGAAGGTTCTCAGGACAGGGCAGCTGCCTTCCCTCAGAGGTAGAAACTCAAGAGACAGGAGTAGGAGTCATAATGTGTTTCCTGACCTAATCTTAGAACTCAGAGACTTCTATTTCCACCATATCCTATCATTTAAACAGGACCATTCCTGTTCAGTGGAGGAGGGGACTACTAGGCATGTGAATATCAAGAAAGGTGATCCATGGGTGGGGGATTTAACTCAGTAGTGCAGCCACTGGCCTCACAAACACAAGGTCCCAAGTTCAATCCCTGGTACCAAAAAAAAAAAAAAAAAAAAAAAAAAAA